CCAACCAACACACACACAACCAACCCTAGTTCCACCGACAGTGGCAGGAAGTCGCCAAAATACATGACAGCATCTTGACTTCCCGGGGAATCCCCTCTCCACAACCCCCGCCCCCACATCTGACATACTCCACTGTCTCAGCGTTTACCTTATACACCTTTCAAATGTAGCTCACCACGTGTGGAAGTGATGTAATACCTTCTTATCTTATTTATATGACCACCATTTCATTTCCTGACCGGCCGCAGGTTGTGTGCCTACCTGTACATGTATTGACTATTGACTTCCGGTCCGAATAACTGTCACCTCAAGAATGTCAACATGTGGTCATACTTGACAGACAAAGACAATGCTTTTCCGGCCATTGTTTATGCTACACGTGTCTGCATTCACTCACCCTTCTGTAATGGTATCCAAGCAGATGTAGAGTGCTTCACGCGTGTTTTACGGCATTTTCTACGTCTGCAAGCAGATGTAGAGTGCTTTGCGCGTTTTACAGCATTTTCTACGTCTCCAAGTAGATGTAGGGTGCTTTACGCGTTTTACAGCATTTTGTACGTATTTCTGAAACAATCACCACCACCCATCCCAATAGAAATGAGAAGTTGGGAGGGAGGATATAAAGTAACGTTTTCTGACCATTGTGTTTCTTTTTCTGGCATAGGGAGTTGTGTTTTAAACTTAAGAAACGGGGCAGGCAGAAAGCGTTACCATCCTATCTGCTTGGAGATTCCCATCCGGAGATTCCCGCCAAGCAGGAAAAACGTCAACCAATCAGCGTTGTCGAGTTTTCCACACCTCCCTCTCATTGGTCGAAAAAAAGGTAATTCCCAGAACCGTGGTTTCGAGGCGGGGAAAACCAGTACGGGGAAGTCAGTTTCGGGAAACCCCCAAAATTTCCGCATCGGAGGTGGACGTGCCTTGCTCCTTAATTTCTGACCAAGTTTGGACCTTGGGCGTGAACCGCGCAGGTGTGACGACACCCTTAAGAGCACCGGAACAAACAGGTATACTTCCGGAGAACAATAGGTGGCGCTTTAATTCTTAAGGGTTCAAAGGGCTATCTTTGCTATTCTTTACACTTCGGCCGCGTTGTTTGTTAACCACGACCGGGCGCTTTGGTCGGCAATTGTAGATGCCTGGCATTTTGCTAACTGGCGTTGAAACAACCAAACCCATGCATCTTAAAGGCATGGTTTGATGTACATGTCTTTGTATTGCAGCGTACAGGGCAAGGCGATATGTTTGTAAGCGGTGCGTGTCGCGCGCCTTGCCGGTAGTTGTTTTGCTAGCCCATTGATGGGCGGCCCGCACTATGTATGATACAACACTGTACAAGATAAGGACGCCATTAATGATGGTGCTGTGTTGTCGCTTCTCCCGCGCACATTTAATGCCTTGTGTGAGGTTTATCAATTTGGATTCTAGTTGGGGCCGTATGCCAAGTACAAGTACAAGTACATTGTATGCATTGTCAGCTATATGTTCAGGTCGTACGTACGTAGATAGGTGGGCGGGTGGGATTTTGTTCATCATGGAAATGACACTGAACAAAGAGATAGCTGGTTGTACTCTGTGTTACTTACTACATTTATTGCATTGTAGATTCTTTTCTCCTGCATACGCGCTCTAACATGTCTATCGTCCTGCCCTAGTCAGTCGGTGTATGTCAATTGGTGTATTGCATTGTCGTGCATTAACAATTGTTTATTTTGCATACGTGTCCAGTCCTGTACGGACAGGCACGGTGTGGTCATCATACGGGTTTCTCAGATGTCCGGAGCGAATTTGGTTCCCGAAATAATATCGATTTGGTTCCCTGCGCGCCGATCTCATTGGTGACCTTTGACCCGTCGGCAAGGCCCGCGAACGTGACGTATAGAAACCGTTTTACGCGGAACTGAGGAGGCCATCTCAGTATACCCTGCCTGCAGGCCGGGGGAGAACCGTTATGTAACCCGCTTGGGGGTCGCTATTGTTGGGAACGATACTTGAGAACCTTGTACAGGGTCAGGGTCAGCAGCATAGAGTCCGTTCATATTCGCCGTGCGTCTGCGATATAGGTTTTAATACGACAGCTAGTGTGGGTCATTCTTGTTACTGTCGTAGATGTGTCGTACAAACGTCCGAGGAACAGGTTATCGTATATCCTTCAATGTTGGTGGCTGGTTATGTCATATGTGCATAGCCTCCACGAAAATCGTACCAAAAATTTGAAGAAAAAAAAAGTCCCACACATCGTTGGTTCCCTTCAATAAGCAGGTGGAATCTCACAACTCTCCGGAATTTGTCAGTTCATCTGTCATTAATTTAGATTCCCCCTCCAAATCATATCAACATTTTTCCCAGGTGAATGTTTTCTGCTGCAGGTAGCATCAACCGGGGGTGGGTGGGAGAGGTATTAGTTCATGTCCATCTCAGGTCCACTCCGACAAGTGGCGAACCGTCCCCACCACAACTTCGCGTTCGTTCGGAAACATCCACGATGTCTCTCCGTAAATGACCAAATATGGTGTGGCCATCCAAATAAGGATGTCGTCGGTAAAGACCGGAAGGCAAACGAGCAGACGAAGAACAATGCCGCATACCCCATGTGTTAGTTTGTTGTGTCCTTCAGGCCCGGTCTTGGACGAACCACGGGAGCGAATTAGGAAGGGGGCGGGGTGAAGTCATGCATTATTTTGAGGCTGGTCGTTTGCGTGGGAAGGAACGTGTGTACCACTAAAAAAGTAAACGTTTGGGCAGAATTCGAGATATTCTCGTCCAAGCAGGACAGGTGTACGTGTGAGTCACAGTTCCAAACTTTTGACCGAGACTCCGTCTGCTGCCAAAGCCGAGAGTGAGTCATCCACCGCAGAGCTACACATTGAAGGTAATCCCTCGCTGTGTAGTGTGGTTGGAAACAATACGCAATGTGCATTTCTTGTGGCTGCTGGCGCGTGTGTAGGCAGTGTCCAGTAGCGTGGTGCTTGTAGCTTGTCCCCGTATCTGTACCACGGTGCGTGCGTGCGTGCGTGCGTGCGAGCGAGCGAGTGAGCGAGTGAGTGAGTGAGTGAGTGAGTGAGTGAGTGAGTGAGTGAGTGAGTGAGTGTGTGAGTGAGTGAGTGAGTGAGTGAGTGAGTGAGTGAGTGAGTGAGAGAGTGTGTGTGTGTGAGGCAGACAGAGAGGAGAGAGTGGAGGGAAGAAGAGAGAGATAGAGTATTGGGCAATATGAGTTGAGTACGCAAAGCTTGAGCATGCATAAGTTTGGGGATTGACTGAACTGCCGCGGGGTGTTCCTTTATAGCAATGGCGAGCCTGCAATGGCGGATATTTCTTGTTTTGTTTTTTTAAATAGATTGAACCGTAGATTTTCTCACTTCGTGCGACAAAGAATATATCCATGTGTTTTTGTCAGTGTTTTGAGGTGCTTTTTCAAGACGAGCGGTTCTGAGGCTGTGTGACAAAAGAGCGCGCTCTCGGGTCTTGTAATTTGTATGCACAACTTTCCGCCCAACGCATCTAGTTATGTGATCCCTGCCCATCCCTGGTTGCTAGGAAAGTATCAGTAAATGAGTTTTCTTTATCCCAGGCATGAACGGCGTCCTAATTGCACGAGTTTACGCTCAGGTTGCGCCAGAAATGTTAGAAAATTTGACGGCTCTGATGAGCTGAAAAGACGCGATCGTGCTATGGTAGCGCGTTACCGCGAAATCCTGCTCGGGCAGCGGGGCTACCTGCGCCCGCCTGCCCGCCAACTGCGCCGCGCCCGGTCCGGCCATGGTCACGAAAACCCCGTTGCCAAGCGTGGCCTTCTCACGTTGACTTGATTAAATCAAGCGAGCTGAGGTGTTATTGGCCTGAGGCACGGCATCCCCGGCCAGGGTTTCTCAGTTGAGGTCCCGGTGAAATTTTCCTGGAACTGTGTACATATATGGCGCTGACTTGGCGCGAGTTCAAGTCACCGCTACAAGCCCTCGCCCCACGCCGCCGCCGGCGTGTGTTGTCCATGTACTAGTAGATATAAACGTATCGTTGTTTCCCCTCTAGCTCAAGTAGCTTAAGGCTTCGGGAAAACAGTTTCTTAGAGTCCGTCCTGTCTACCATGCATTCTACTTCTAGGGCGCTTAAGTTGCTTCCGGGTCACAAACGCGTATAGTGTGTGAACCGCTGTACATGTAACATCAGAAGGCACCTGCGTTCGTCAGACACTGTACTAGTGCTTTGTGCAAACACACTACGGACCGACACAGGACCAGCGGCCCAGCGCAAAAAATAAGGTTACAGAGTACCTCCACCGTCTTTGGCCTTGTTTTGCTGCCATGCTCAAGTGCTTCTTGCTTTTTGTTAGCCACCAAAGTTGTGGGCTTTCAGGTGTGGTCACTCACTGTGTATTATATAGAATGAATCAAATCATAAATAGTACGGGGACAGTCCATTTTCTTCAGTTCAGTAGCTTTAAGTAATTCAATGCGTTTTAAGGACGGTTGGCTAAGTAGCAGGCACGGTCATATGCGTCTTAGGACTTTTTAGTCGTGGAATTTTCAGAGAGGGTGTAACAAAAAAAAACCGTTGGTCAGAATTAACGACGGCGTTTTCCGTCGCAAGGCAGCTGGATGTTGTATCACCATGATACGACTGGCCCAGGAATGTTATCAATTCGTTCAAAATGTCCAGACCGGTACCCTCATCTCAGGTCCATGATTTACGCTGAGATGATGTGAAAACACGTAGTTTCGCCTGAACTAAATATAGCGTTACACAATATGGCAGAAAGCCAGCACAGAGATAGCACACATTCTGGAATGAATGGCGGTGATCGTGTGAATCTCTCTCATGTGTGTGCATTTGAGGTAGCGTGGCCGTATGACAAGCCAACCATGTACTAGTGCATCCGACAGTCTAACTTACGAATTGAAATATCAGCCATCATTTATACTCCATATACAGCCATCACAATGTAAGAAACAGGAGGAGCCAGTAAAAACCCTACCGACCGGGTCAGTTGGTAGCGCCTATAACCCCCACTGTTAAAACAAGTTGTGCTTTCCAAAAATACACAAACTTGACATAAAACACGCTACTTCCCTTGCACAGACCTAAATGTGATGCTACAAGAACTTATAGTACAGAAGGCAAGATGCAAGATCCCGAAGTTTCTGAGAGGAAAATTTTACGTTAAAAGCTCACAGAGCTCACGTGCACACCATTGTTTGCTCATACCCACAGAGTAGTAGACAAAAGACCAGTGGACATTAGATGCTCGCAAAATTTTCGCCCCGCCCTTTTTTTTCCATAGTTTTCCCTGTGTTTGTAAAGACAGGTAGCTGTCAGTTATTTACGACTTAGCAACATGCCCCATACCCATACGGTCTAAGGAGAACAGTTGTATCATCGGCTGTATGGGCAACAGTAAAACGTCGTCTCTTCCTCAGTTCGTTTGTGCCAACAATACCGACCTAGCGTCCTCCCCAACATGTACGTATTGTTCTCCCTTACCTTGCTTTTATTTTTGAAAATTCGTAACAGCTCATCGACACTACGTCCCCGTACCAAAACAACCCTACAGGAAGCGTTCAATTTATTACTAAATATGGCAGATATTTGTGTTCACATTATGTTCACAAATACGAAAGAAAGAGGGAATAGTCGCGATCACAACACCATTGGTACTACCATATACTACGGTTGTTGTTGTAAAGAAACGCTAAAAGCGTTGAACATTAACCAGACTGTATAGCCTCTCTTAGTCCGGTTTTTAAGCCCCCGAACCCAGCATTACATCTAAATCACGCAGTACGTTATCGTTTCTACTCTGTACTGTGTGCATTTTAAGTTACAAGTTCTGTTTTTCCTCCGATGCACGGTTTTCGTGTGGTAGTCACGGCTAGCAAACATGGCCGTCCGTCTGAGGACGCGTCATGTTTTCCACGTTGCCAGCCATGGCGTGACGTGCCCCGGCTAGTGATATCACCAGACATCTATCCTTCCAAATTTACCATAGCAGTTTGCAGGTTATACTACATCACCGCGCATTCTTTTACAAACGCCTTTTTCGCAGGATTTACTACAACAAAGAACTTCTTTTCCGCGATTTTAGCCGAGTTGACCTAGTAAGCGTGGTGGCGGGAGTGGCGGGCGACTCGTCGTTTCTGTAACAGTCACGGTCTCGGGGAAGGGTTCCATTTACTTCAAATGTTTCTAAAGCGGCAGATTTTATATTTTTACGTTTCGGGGTTTGTTCCTGTGTTTTCTTGCTTGGTTTTTCTGTTTGATTCCCCATGTTTTGGACTAAAATTATTGACTTTTATTCTTCTTTAACAATTTGGTCCGGCAGGATAACATGTAGTTAGTGTGCACGGAGAGCTAGCTGGGCTGGGATCGAGAACGCTGCCTCTCTGTATAACACTTCTGCTGTTTTATGTAAACACCTCTTAATCTTCTGTTCATCAATTCTATAATTATAGAATTATTAAGCATGCCGAAACTGATACTGGTTATATTACTAATTATCACAAACGCTGTCCCAGGGGCATGGCCTCACGTCGTTTTCTTTTTAACATTATCGTCGACATTTTATCTAGACTATAGACTTTAAGAGAATTGTCCCAGTATACCGATGCAAAGTACAGACAGGAATTCTGTTTGGTCAACGGTTGAATCTAAGGACCACGCCTAAAGACTGACCACAACAGGTGGTCATCATTAGGTCACCAGAACAGGTTTGACTGTGCTGACACGCCATGTGACTTGAGTCATACATAGACACAGGTTTTCCCCACCCCCAGATTATTTTGAACAATCCGTACTAGATACACATAGAAACTGAAAATACATTCTCCTTAGATGTTGATTCCGAAGAATCCCGTGATGTAATTGTGCTACAACACAGCAACTCTTTGTTTTATACTCCTTTCCTTCCTACTAACGAAAGTCTTATTTGGTATTCTTTCAAACAAGAGTATTTTCCTCCTGTCGGATGACTGCAACCAACAACAACAACATTTCCTTCGTGACTCTCTCGTATTGCAGACGTTTTTTTTTCTATTCTCAAGCATGTGGAATACACTGAACACGGTTTCTTTTCTACCCAGGGAATTTTGTGGCCCGATGACGGTTTTTGAGGACACGGTGCCCAGCCCGGCGTACGCAGGCGACATGTCGGCCCAGGGAGAAGACCCGGGGCAGAAGTTACGGATGCGGCCGTGGCTGGAGCAGCAACTGGACACGGAGAAATACCACGGCTTCTGCTGGCTGGACAAGAAGGAGAGAAAATTCAAGGTATCGACATCATTTTGGTCTATGTTTGTCGTTATCAATTTCCGTGAAAAAAAATTTCTGTCGACTTTTTTTCGAAGACGACATGAACAACCCTCGTACCAAGTGTTATTCATCCCATGTTATCGTGAATATTTTTCGGAATGTTATTTCTTTGCTTTCCTTCATAGAAATTTATGATAAACACTTATTCTGCAGTTGAAAATATTGATGTGTTCACATAACAGATGTTATTTTTATAACTTCAAGAAAAACTAGAGAAGCTTGTTGCGCCGTTTTTTGTGTTCCAAAATATCAACTGAGACTGTTGTTTTGCATCCGTTGATATGCTAATGCCTATTACAAATTTACCATTTCGTTTGAATGCATTTCAATTCTTCCCCAATATCATATTTGTTCTCTCGTGTTTTAGATTTGTGAGTCTGTTAAGTTAAGTAACGATTGCTGTACTCAGTGAATTGTACTTCAACGCAATTCTTAAACATTTCGATCATATAAAGCTAGCGCACGTGTCCAGGTAACATACATGAACGAGCATACAACCCGCTCCACTAATGCCTTCTCGTGTGAAGTCTGCGAAGGTTTTTACCTCAAGATTTTCAATCTGCATACTTTACAGATGTTATGCTATTACATACGTGGCTCCATATTTACAAATATCCTTCTTAATCTGAAATATCGGACACATTTTCGGCGTGATCGCTGTTTTTGGTCGGAGCTATCGCGGTCGGATTTACGCTAACGCAAAACGGCAACTGCCTTTCCTCGGCACGGGCTGTTTACAAATCGGTTTGAAATATAGCAGTGCATCGTCATTTATGAAAAATAGCGATGTTTTTCGTTGAAATGACGTGGCTGGAATAACGTCGAAGGACTTTTCTTTTACCGTATTCGAAAACAGTAGAACAACTTATCGACGAAAATGAGCTATACCTGAGCGCGGTCAAACAAATCAGAACCACGATCACCAGATACAGAGACACGTCCATACTGTGATATTACCTTAACAATTTAGCCTTGTGATTGTAACCTAGGATACTTAAAAGTCTTGCAATTTCCCATGTGCAATTGCACCTCTGTTGAAATTGCAATTTTCATGTTTTCAAACCATAAAAAAAGCCGTCGATAGATTCCCCATGTTTTGTTTCAATCTTGCTCAATACATTGCTACTTTGCTTCGCTATTTGTGCCGTTTAGACATATTAGAACGATTTTAACTCATGAAGTACCTTGTGTGCACTGTGTTCTCCTAGGTACCATGGATCCACGCTTCCAGCCAGCACTTCAACCACATGAAGCACTCAGCAGTCTTCAAGGCTTGGGCTGTTCATACAGGTGTGTAACTATTCAATCACTAGGAGGAGAAGTTATTGTGTTTGATTAATGATGTTTGTAAAAAGTAAGAAAGAATGACATGCTCCTTTTGAGTAGATGCCACGATCTTTTACACTCCTTCTATATTAGACACAAACGACCGTTGATAATATATACAACAATCATCGGAAAGATAGGAATCAAAAGAAGGTAGACAACTGTTGTTTAGTCATCCTGTTTTCCCTGTCTATTACATCGTTTCTAAGAGGTTAACAGTTGCAAATAAATGCCCAAAGACTAATTGCAAGTGCATGTAACACGGGCATCGGTGATGTTAAAAACTAGTTTCCATGGTATACTTAAAACTACATTTTAAATGTGCCCACAGGTCGGTTCGACCCTGAGAAGTCTGAGGTGCCGTATGAGAAGGTGAGTCTGTGGAAAACGTGGAAGGCGAATTTCCGCTGCGCGCTCAACTCCCTGCCGGACGTGGTGGAGCTCCGCGCCGAGAACTGCAAGGCGAAGGGCGAGGCGGCCTACAAGGTCTACAGGATCGTGGACAGGAAACCGAAGCGCAGGAAATCCAGAGGTAGGGAAGAAAAGAGAGAGAACTAGCTGGTCTGTTGTGCAGACTTTTCTAGCGTCCTGGGTTTGCGGCGGTATAAACGTATTGGCCGATACAGCCCTCCCCTCGATGCAGCCCTTCCCCGTAACAGCTCTATTTTAACAACGAAAAACAAGAAAGTACTCGCCCATAGAAACAAACGCAGGTCGCTAGTCTACACAAGATGTACGTAAGAAGTGATACAGAAATACACGAGTACCTTATAATGCACTTGTCACGTGTGTCGCACGACAGGTTTACGACAGTACAGTCCTGGATCTGTCGTACAAACGGCGTCGGGCAGCGGGGAAAAGATGTGGTAGATCCTTGTCAGCGGTAAATTCTGACCTGATGACCGTACGACAGAAAGCCTCTCATACCAGAAAAGATAGAATATCTAAAAACAGCTTCATATCTTTGAGTAACTTAGCTCAGAACCTTGGTCATCTCACGAAATATTCGTATGGAATGCGTTTTTGTGGCATAAAAGCTTAGTATATTTCTTGCGAATTTTGTAGCCTTCGCTTCATGTTAAATGATTTGTATTGTGCTGAAATCCCTTTACTACTGCAATGTCACTATACAACAAGACGAGCCAGTTGTTGGCGAGAGGTTTAAGAAAGAATTTGGTATACATGCAAGAAAGTCTTCTGAGAGAGCAACCAAAAATTCGATTCTAAATGACGCCATTTTGTAACCGCCATGTTGTTTTTCCTTTTTTCCCGTCTGACAGGCTCCCAGTCTCACACATCGCCCCCGCCCGTGAGCCACAAAACCGGGAGAGTCGTGAAGAAGAGATCTGCTCCCATAAAAGTGGGTATTTTTCCCGCATGTGCTGTCCAATTACTTTAAACCAGTATTTAAAACAATTCTGTTAAGCAATGTTGTGTTTTTTAAAGTCCAACTGCATTTGCGTAGTCTCGTACAGTATCTGAAATATCATCGAGGAAAATGCGACCATAGAATCGAATATAATCTTGTTCCTTGTACGATGTTTCTTATGAACGGAAGTACAATAGAAGTTCTAAAATTACACCGTAGACCTCAAGATCACAACCAAAACTACCTGATCATTTGAAGAATGTATGGTAAGCACTTACCTGTACCAAGTTTTGCCTGTATGTATGGGCATCAATAAACTGCAGTGAAATCTTTTGATTAGTTATTGCACTTTGGTCGGTATTGAACTGGGATTAGCATAAAGAAAAACATGAAAACCTATCCACGACTCGGAGTGTGCATCATGAACTTTGTAGTACATTTACCGTGTTATAGCTCATTCTTGTTTTGACTGTGTTATCCTGTATTTGTATATTTCGAACAAAGTACTGGTAATAACCTAACACGAGCGGACTATTTACCCTTACTTGCATCTGTCCAACTGTTTGGCAGAAATGAAACATGTATAAGTTTGGAAGGGATGACAATACAAAATCATGGCAGTACAATATCGCATGTTATTTGCAACTTTGGTACGTTACTACTTACATGTACTAGGCTATGAGAGTGCTTGTAACTGTAAGGTCCGGTGCTTCTGACAGCTTTAGAAATTTGGTAGCATTATGAGGAGTTAGCGGTGGTTCAAACAGTCTTATTATTTAGCCTTCCCCTTGTAGCAATATTGAAGAATTGGGCAACATTGAGGATAACTCAGAAGAAGACATGGGAGGGGCGACAGTGTTCAAAGTACGCATACATGTCACCTTGTGCAGACTGTGTCCCCCAAAATGTTTCCAATACACACACACGCACGCACGCACGCACGCAAAAAGCACGCAAGCACGCACACCCACGTTCATTTCAAAGTTGTATTGTCACTAACTGAGTCTATTCTGATTCTACTCTCGGAAGAAGAAAGTACGAATGTACGATTTTTTTTTCTAGTCAGTCAAACTCACGCATTTTTTCTTTCTTATTCCTATATCAATAGCCTGGTATCCTGCTATTTTAGCTCCTGTTGCTCTTTTTGCGGGTAGCGACCGTTTGAGGACCTAGACCTAAAGGGCATGTAAAACCAGGCTAGGCTAATATTTCGAGTAATACGTACATTGTTAAGACTGAATACCAATTAACTACTATATGAAATAGACTCGTAGACCCCACGGTCTCTATATGAAACCCGTTTCGTGAGAAACAAATCCTTGCTTTTAAAAAGTGTCGCCAAGCCTCTGAACTCTGTGGTCTAGGGGGCAAAGTAAAGTTGGCTAAGAAATCACGTGATGATTTTTTCCAGGAACAAGCAGGTAGGTTAGGTGAGCACCT